GGATCTAAACGCTCTTTGTACACCCGCCACGACCCCATCAATGCGTATATCATAATATCAAATAAATCTCAACCCTCATACACTACGCCTACAAAACTATTAAAACGATCACCTCGGGATCCAGTCAACTTGTTCTCCTATGTGCATAAAAACATACATGTTATAATAATTATCAGTATTATTATTATTATCATTATAATAATTATTATTGTTGTGACGTGTTACGCGCGTTTACGACTCCCGTAATCCGGTCGTGTGAAAACCGTAAAAAGTTGACGATCGATTTGATTTAATGCAAACATACCTACGGAGCGTTACATAAATATACGTAAAAGTGTACGTGTCTGACATTGCAGCGATATTGTAGACTTTTAGTCATGGATACTAATGTAGATACATATCAACACCTGCTATTATAGTATAATATATATATATATATATCTGTGAACAAACAATTGATCTCTACTTGTATTTTCATGTGATATACCGATATACATCATCAATAACTTAAAAATATTATGAATAATTTAAGAATACACGTAGGTATAAAAAATATTCTTAAAGCACAAACAAATGTAAAAAAATTGAAGAACCGGAGTTTTTGCCTACTTATAGGCAAGTCAACATGTTATCAAAACAACATAATAAAAAATATTTATTATAAGAGATGCATTTATCTAGGTAATAAGTTATTAAGTTGAATCTATAGTTAAGAATTTTTACATGGATTCTAAGCCGATAGTGATGAATATATCAATTTTATATAATGACGAGAGTGTTTTTTATGTCTATATTCACGATTAGTAGTCGAAAATGCTTCGATTTTTAAGATAATGGTATCAAATAAAAAATTGGATAAAATTTGTAATTTAAAGAGGTCGCAATTAAAAATTGCCAGCGTTCTTCATTTTATTCAAGTAAAATTTAAAAAAAATCATGGATAAATTGTCATTTTTATGCATAGATAAATATTTTTAAACCAAATCGTTTTTTTCGTCTATATAGGCTCTTACAATTTTCATTCACAAAATAGTAATATTATGATTTTTTTGTATAAATAATGTAATTTTCAAAATATTTTGACACTGAGTTATTTATAAATATTTAAAATTTACAATTTTTTTTTTTTTTTTATGTATAAATTTTAATAAAAAATATTCGTTGTATTAAAATATTTGAAATAGGTACATATGCATAGTTTTATATATATATATATATATAAATATTATTGAAGTTTTAATTTTGACAAAGTTATAACTAGCACGTACTAAAATTAAAGAATCAATGAAATTTTAACTGCAGTTGTATTTTATTAAAATTTCAAATTTAAATTTGGATAAAATTAAATATTCAAACTATAAATAACAATATTCGTTATTTTTTTATAGTGCAAAAACATTATTCATGAAGATATACAACTTTTACGTACCTATATTATTATATTTTACACACACTATGATATTTTTAAATGCAATGTTATTGCCTACTGGTAAAAATTATTTTAACCTACTTTATTACTAATAGTAAAATAAATTACTTTTCTAATAGCAATATCCAAAAATATAACTTTTGAAATGCACTCAGTAATATAGGCTAATAACTTAGCTTATATAAAGATTATAGGCTAAAGATTCTTTTCAGAATCTTTATTCCTATTAAATAATACGAGTATATATTATTAATTAATTCAAATTTAAAACATCCATTACAATGACCCACTCAACACTTACTATACCGCAGAACAGTATACACTTGTCCACCTATTTTTATTATTATTAATATAGTATAAACCATGGTATATTTAGAAACAATTTTCTGAAAATAGTTAGGATCATAACTCGTATCTTATCTTATCCTATTTTAAAATGTACTTGAACAGCTGAAAAACCGTTAGTGACTCTAAGTGAAATTTAATTTTTTTTTTTATAGTCATTATGTTACTGTAAAAAAAATACTTTCAATATGTATCAACAGAAAAACAATAGGATGGTGACCAATTGTCCGTGTATAAGATTATTACGGTGGTCAATTGTTCGCATACGACGATTTTTCGCGGGGACCAATTGTCCTTTATCTAATATCTATTGACGTTTTTTTTTTTCGTTTCACTGGAATAGTCTTGGAAATTCGCCCAATTTATATGGTGGCACTGTGTAGGCTTGCGATTTCTATGGCGGTAATCATCTGATCTGATTTCGTCTGATTCGATAATTTTCTATGTAGCTTAGCCCCGTTGACGGCGTGTGTATTTCGTGCTTTGTTCAAAATATGTCCTAAAAAATTAAAAAATCTTCGCGTACAATGGACATAATTACGCGTTGATTATACACATCACGTAATAACCACGTTCAATACTTTACTACACGGATGTTTTAATTAGGAATACGTTAAAAACCGCAGTTCACATCAGTGCACTATAATTATTAACGTGACTATTAATATATGTAGATGCGTAATTGGATGAGTTTTTGTCTCGATTTTTCATTGCGACAAAATCAACGTTGGATAAGCGTTTTTAATGGGCACTGAACACTTTATAATAATTATTATTATAATCGTCGCCGTGTTAATACTTTATTATTTATATGTATATAGGTACATAAAATATTATACGTTCGCACTGTTAAAATAAGAGTACCTAACGTGCGTATAGATGGATACTTTATACCGCACGTAATACGTTATTTACGATTTAATAGTTATTATACTCGTCCTGCAGTTAATTAAAAATCGTAAACATCGGTATACGAGTGATTTTTCATAGAATTTTTCTTCTGTTTATTACATCCATATACATTTATAATACACGTTTCAGTGATACAACAGTATTCTACGTAGCCGCCCGACACACTGGTTACACATCGTAGAAGAATCGAATATGGACAAAAATATATAACTGTACTTGCCGAGTGTCGGTTGGAATATTATAATTATTTGTCAAGCACTCCCACGCGACGATTCCGTCAGCTACAGTGCTAGATTGTCGAGCGTTTCCGACGATTGACGCCGCTATATCGCGGATGATACTACTATATAACGATGTGATATTTATGTCGAATTCGGTCACTGCGTATAGTATAGGTATGCATTTCCGCGCGAACATATCTATAACATTAGTATTAACACTACGCGTCACGCGATCTACATACTGCGAGACGATATCATTAGATTAGATTTTGTATTACATATGCTGTCCCGGAAAAATATCGCGGAGTCAGTCGGTCGGATGGACCGCATTTTTCACGTATGATGCATAATCCACTGCAGTCGGAAATAATTTAATAACCATTATATCATAAATATTTATAAAGGTTAGCAAACTCGACCCAATCAGAACGTCATGTCATGACACATAATATACCTACCTATAATATTTGCGAGCGGCCGAAAACTAGTTTTGGTGACCTCCGTCCTCGTTGCTTACATATTTGTCGTGCACAGTCGAAACAGAATAAAATATTAACAATCAATGTCATGTATGTAATTACTATGTATACTAACCGTATGAGTAAACCCACAGCGGCGCTGGTGAAGATTACTCGAAATGACTAGGGTGGTCGTCGCAGGTACATATAATACGCGAATAGAGCGGGAGCACTCTCTCGAGCGTATAAAATTCCGCGGTTTCAACCGGCTCGAAATATTATCCTTATAGGCATATACGTATTATTCGTTATGTGCATAATAATAACATTTATAATGTTGTTTTGCTTGCATCCGTGTCGATCTCGAATGGTATATTCTTATGATTTTGTAATATTATAGTGTATAGTTCATCAAACATAATTATTTATATTTAATAACGAACGTATTTAAATTCGGTTTATTGAAACTCTGAAGTTTAGTAAAAGTCATGGAACATATTATTATTTCTAATTTAATTTATGTTTATAGATTTATATGCAACTTGGAAATGTAATTTAATAACACAAACTTCCTATTATTTGTACACACAAATCACTCGTTTTCAGTGCAAATTTTTATAAATATTCTTAAGCTAACGGTATTAAAAAAAACAAAAAAATGATGTACTTGAATTAAAATTTTAACCAGTGGTTTCTAAGTAAATTGTAATTGTATACGTAATATACTATCAATAATATTGGCTTGTAAATCGTACAATGGCTCATATACCTGCTTAAAGTATAATAATTCAGAGAGTGATCGATTATAATAATGTAATCTTATAAATTCCAAAAAATCAGAATTTTATAACTTTTTTATTAAAAGAAAAATGGGAGCGTGACTAGTAAAACACCCAGTATGTATATTTTTCTTAGTGAAAACCTGTCGGCGAAGATATTATAATAATAGGTGTACCGTCCAAAAATGGCTTACGCGATCTTTTCGATTGTCTAATGGCCGCGTGTTATATTGTTTTATTATGCGTGCGGTACTGGTCAATAAAAAAAAAACATGCCTAAATAATACTCGATGCATGCAACTCGCGATAAACGAACGCGCGACCGTTTAACCTAAATCGGATATTACACGATACATCTCCCCAAGTCGCGCATGTACCGCTGCAGCGTAAATACGTATATTACACGGATAGGGTACGATAAATAATAATACGTTTGAATAATAGTATATGCACACAACTGCAGCACGGCGTTTGGCGATCGCGTTAGATTTTAATTGGACGCATACCCGTTCGTACGAGGTATAATATTCGGCGTGAACAATATATTATGATAGTTGGCTGAACATAGTTTAATATTATAGCATAGCGCCCACCGCCGCCGGCTAATCGTGTCTTAAGAGTCGACGGCTATCGACGGTAATATAATATAATAATATATACTATTGATAATAATAACAATAATAATTCGACTATTCGACTGCAGCTATACGGCCCGTCGATCGTACGTCGTTGTGGGTTTTAACATGCTGAAAATGGACAGCGGCGGCTTGTGTACACTGGCATTTATGCGAATAACGATATTATTATTTGCACAAGTCGACGAACAATAATTATATCGATTACGGTTGTGTTTCAGATTGCAATTACCTATTGAGCTGTGTCCGGGACGACACCCTGCGGCTGGTCGATCTCAGGACGAACAAAATAATCAACACATTCGAGCAAGTCATATTTGTTTAATTTTTTTTTTCTACTTACTATTATTACCATTATTTGTGTTATTATTTTTATTCTTCTTCTTCATTTTATTATTATTATTATTATTATTATTATTATTATTATTATTATTATCATTATCATTATTAACTCAAATCCATTAGTTGAGTAGGAGATCGGAAAGCTAAATTATAAGGGAGTCGCATGAATAAAAATAGCTCGTAACGAGATAAAACCATTTTATACGACTATACATCTAATGTTTTTTTTGCGTAGCGAATACGTTCACTGCATCAGTCTCAATTGTTTTGTATATACGTACGTAAGTACACTCTTATAGATAAGGTTTATTATTTTTTTTTTTATATAAGTATATACACTTTTTTTAGTATGTTCCCGGTAACGTTTAGTTAGATCTTTTTGTATTTCGAAACTTTATTTTCGACACCGATTGTACAATGGCTAGTTGGCTTCACGCCTCATAGTTTGGAGTATAATTTCGTTCCCCTTTGTTGCAATTTTTTCATTTCCTGTTAACTTTCCGTGATATAATTCAGACATTTTCAATTTATTTCAAGTTCATTTATTTCAAAAAAAAAAAAAAGAAAAGTTTTCCAATCTCTTAAGTTTAAATATATCATTCAAGAACAAATAGCCAATTTGCGTAGTAAAGTTAAATTTAAGTTTTATTTTTATAAAATTAGGAGGTTGGATGGGAAAAGTAACTTTAAAAGACTCAATGTTTTCGTTTTAAATACCGTCTTTTGTTCTTTTCATAGAATTTTTAGTAAATAATAAAACAAGTAAAAAGTAAAACAAAAAGAATATATAAAATAAATGTAGGTATGTGTACATAATCTCGCTATCACCTGTTATATTATTTTTGCACACATAATTGACACTATATTCATTTAAAATATCAAATTTTATGTTCCGTTATTATAATAGTTATGGTATTAAACTTCAACAATATATATATATATATATATTTACGTATGTATGAGTGGGTATGTTAAATGAGCACATAATATTCTTACAGTAAGTTTATTATCTTACATGGATGTTTACGAAAAAGTAAAAACCGTTATGCGTAGGCATAAAATCAAATCATGTAAAAATCACTGGACGTGCGGTTAATATTATTTAATTTAAAACCTACTTATTTTGTATTACTGAACACTGTTATTATAATTTTACCTGACTTCGAGAATTAATTTTCTAAACAAATATTGCGAAGGGGTTTTTTTTTAATTGATCGTAATTCTTTAGTATTAGTCAAAAAGTTGAACGATTTATATGGATAATTGGGTTTTTATGGAGATTGATTTCAATTAATATATTACAGTATAATATTTATTAAACTCATCTATTGGTATACCTGTATACCTGTTATTAATGTCCATTAAATTTATATTTATAGTCTTTTTTCAGTGATTTGAATTTAAAATGTAAAATAATAATACACCAAAATTAATTTTCAACGATAAATTATATCGATGACGCATATGCACATAAAACATTACTATAGATGTTATGGTATTTTAAATTCCTTTTATCACCAGTTTTTGAAAATTGTTTGATCATAAAATTATAATATGATTATAATCGCATTATCCCACGCATGCCATAGACCACCAAAGACTGAGACGGAAAAGAAGGAAACAGCTCGGTTTTACAACTGAATGATTGTACATTTCAATTAACTACTGATGTACATTTTTGATTTCAAAAATATACAACTTTATATGATGATTATTTAAAAACTTTTTTTCAGTTAATTTTATATTTTCCGACTTTTATTTTCGTCGTATTATCGTTCACAATCTTGAAATATTTAATGTATATATTTTTTTTTTGTATTTGAATCATTATTTATGTAAAATTGAATTTAAATGATTGCTTTAATATTTACAATACTTTACTAGTAAGTTATAGTTGGTAGGTTCCCATGTTTGCCTAAGTATGTTTTGTACTAGATATAATATTGTGTTATACTAAAGTACAAAACAGTGAAATAAATTATATTATTAATAAATAATAACGTAAAACGGATATTCTCACATTGTTTTTTACTATGTGTTTAAACAGAGCTGACGGATTTAAAGTGGGTTGCGATTGGACAAGAGCTGTGTTCAATTTAGAATATGATCATGTGGCCGTTGGATCCTCTGAAGGTTCGGTATTCATATGGGCCGTGTCAAATCCCGTAAAACCACTTGTAGTATTGAAGAACGAACACAGGTACATATACATATTTTATTGCTAGAGCCATAAAATATTATTATATATAAATATTACTCCTGATTATATTATCAATGGCATGATTTTACAATCTCTATTCGGGTACTTAATTTTAATCATGCTTGATATAATTTTTGGTGGCTACTATAATTTGATATGACTGTTCCTTCCAATAGCCAAAAGATTCGATCATGCTATAAAAAAATCGGTTTAGTCGTTAAGGACAAAAAGAAATCAACTAAAACGTCAACTTATAATTTGCAGTAGTCTGTAAGAAAATATTTATCAAATCTTACTATTACACTTTTTTAGTAGTAATATAATCATTAAAATTGATTGATAAAAATGTTTTTAATAATTATATTACTATATTTTAATTTATTTAATTAACATAATATTTATGTACTATTAGACTCGAACAATCGACAATTTTGCTAAAAAAAAAACATGCTTAGTTTTACAATTTACGTTGATAGATTTTAATTTTGTCATTTTCAGTATTGTATTAAAATGTACTTAAAAGTTATAAAATAATAAAACTGTTATTTTCGTCATTGCAGTGCACCGGTGACGGCCGTATCTTGGCATCAATTTACCAACAACGTGGCCAGCGTGGATCGGTCTAGGAGGGCAGTAGTCTGGGCAGACGTTTAATGCACACTGTGAATCCGGTGGTTTGTTTTTTCTTATTACTGTTCACAGTCTACTGCTGCAACGTAACGCGTGTATTTTCCTTATTTTATTTTATTTTTTAATATATTTACCATTTAAATTTTAAACAAATTAAAAAATAAAAGATATATGTATATTTTTTATTCTATGTATACATATTATAATAATTGTTGTCATACGTGTGTGCTTGTGTATACAATATATATATATATATATATATATATATATATATAACATGCATATATAGATATATTATTATTTTTAGACTCATTTGATGATGTGAGATTATTTTATATATTTCATGTATTATGTGTTTTGAATAATAAAATGTTCCAAATATTTTTTTTCCTTTTAAGCATCTTGGCCAGATTTTGTAAATTACGTATATGAACTAATATCTAATATCTCAACTAATGAAACATCTTTTTTTCAAACTTCTCAACATTATCGATTTGTACAGTACTATTACTACTCTATATTCGAGGAATATCGATCATGATATCGATAGCATATTATTGTAAAAAAAAAAAAGTAAATCTTAAAAACATAATTTACTAATAATTACTAAACTCTTTCAAGTATTTAAATATTGAATAATCTAAGCATCTGTAAATTGTAATGATCATTTAAAACATGTATTTTTAATTTTTCGATTTCGTATTACCACAATTATTGTTTATGATAAAATTAAGAAAAATTAAAATTGTATTTCAAGCTTAGCTATTATTAAAGTTTGTATTAGTAATGAAAAAAAAATGTTTTACTTTTACCTTCATAACTTTAATAAAATATAAAATTCTAAAAAAGTAAATAAAAAAATTATTTGTGATACAGAAAAATGAAGTTCTATATATTGTGATTATTTACATTTTCCTTTGATTTCAGACTTTTTAAATTTTTTTATGTATTTTTAATTATTTTTTGGATAATAATAACTCATCGAGAAATTGTTGTGGTTTTTTAATCAATTTTTAAATATTCATACTATATTGAGTTTTTTAATTTTTTTTTTTATTTATCACCTTTAGTTGTATTGTTTTATTGCTATTTAACTAATCATAAAAATACATTAAAGCTTTTGCAATTTACAAAACTCAAATTTTAGTGTAACTATTTACTTACAGTTCTTTGATTTAACAGACGAGTTTATTGAAGGCCAATGGTCATATTATCATAACTGCACTTATTTGAACATTTTATATTATCTTAATATTATATAAAATATCATATTTAAAGCTAAAAATATCACACCTAAAACCCAACAATTCCTAAAATGATGATCTATGACCAAAAAAGTAAAATAATGCACCTGTAATTGCACTTATTTTTTTTTTCAGACAAGTTTTAAACAAAAAAATGTTTCAGATGAATGTAAAGCAGGGCACACACTCACATTCTATAACATGTTTAATTCTAAAAAAATACCGTCTCGCATCGATATCGATATCGTTATAGTTCCTACTTTTCTAGACAGATTGTTGAACGGGGAATTATACAGTGGTTTAAAATATACGTTGCCGCCGTCGCTTGGTGGTATATTGATTTTAACATAATATGGTGCATTTAATTATTTTTTTCCAATCAGTTAAACCATAGAGTCATAAACTAATATTAAAAAACTCTAAAGTACTCAAAAATAAAAACTTTAAATTAAAAAGCATCATATAATATACGAATTACGTATAAATAATAATACAAGCTAATTGCGACACGATATTAAGCTGCGGAAAACAAAGCTAAGTGTAACAAAATCCTAGTTCTAAGACCTAGTTATATTATACTAGCTATCCTAACTATAATGACTAATATATTTATTTAATGATACTTATTAATGGATTAAAAGTGAACCCTACTTTATCTAATACCGTAGGAACTAATATTCACTTATTTTAGTTAAAAACACTAAATAGCAAATACGGTTGAACACCATACCTAACTAAAATTAATACAGCGTGACCCGATGTATTATCATATTTTTTTTTTTACTTTCAATCATACACGCCGCGCGATCTGTGAAACGTTAACAGCGAAATTAACTCAACAATTTAAACCAGATGGCAAACTACGTCTAGAGTCTGGAGAAAATTAATTTTTAGACAGTACTATTTGTAAATTATCAAAATTGAAACTTTCATATTATGAACATTGTTTACGGAAAATTAAATTAACAATAACACATTTTAAAATATCTGCACTAAACTATTTACTACCACATTTCCAATTTGAGCGCTGTTGATGATATGTTTTCCCAAGGTAAGTATACTGATAAAATCTAGACAGATTGTACTCAATCTAATGGAATCTGATTTTCTACATGGTGAAAATTATAATATCATTATTGTAATTTATGGTACTATACGATTTATAGTACGGGTATATATCAGTATACCATCTCATATTGTGTTCGTAACATAAAATATACAGTAAGTGCATTTTTTTTACCGAGTTGATAATTTAGCCGTATTTTTACTTTACGTGTATATTATAATCCTAATAAACATTTTTTATCTATAAACTGATAATACAATTTGATGCAATTATTAATATATCCGTACCATCATAACGGTTATAGTATAGGAAGTCGCATAAAAAAAAAAAAAATAAATAAAAATAATGTAATTACATCGACTTAAATTACTTGAAATTTAATTTTATACCTACTATGCTAAATTAATGATTTACGTCACCTACCGACTTACATAATATTCGTAATAATACAACGCATTATAATTTTAATGTTCGACGATTCGAACTAACGCCGTGCACTGAATGACATTGGATTACGACTGCGATGGTGCAGCTGAATTGCCTGTCTATAACGCCGTGTTACGTATAAAACGGTTTACATCACCACGGCGTAGCTCAAATTGTGGGGTCATCTATACAAACAACTAACATTTGATCATATTATTGGTGTGGTACAATTTTACATGACAGCGCGTGATACACGAATATGCTGGAAATATTCGATTGTCTGCGTCCATTATCCGACTGTCAACACGATATCAAATTTACTATTATTTATTGGAATAAAATATTTTTACGTTTGAGAATCGTTTGTAAGTGGTTAGGGTCGATGGAAACGTCGGACCTGGTACACACGCGACCACCACTTTAATACCATTACACGGTGAATTGGGTTCCAGTGAATTTCTCTCTACTGACGCAAATGTCTGAATAAGGTTGCACCGCAGTGATAATATTATGAAATAATATATTTTGTAAAATATCGCTTGTTGTTTCGCCCACTACAATATAGCATGGACCATAATAATAATATTTCGGAGGACATAACTGTGGGGCGTACAATTATAATTTCTCAACGGACATAGTTGTCGACTGAGCTAACATCCACCCTTGAACAGATTACCACCCTCCACCCGACCAAAAACTCGCGTATCAAATACGAATCGCTCACGTACAGCATTCCCAGGGCGAGTGATGGGTTTTATCGTTACGTGACCTATTCCATATCGATGGTGTAGTATAATATATATGTGTGTGTGGGTGGATATGTGTGTGTGTGAATTATTTTCACGCGGTTCGATAAACGTTTCGCACTTACGGGAGCTGTTTTCGGCGTCCGTTGATTATGGACCACAATAATGTTATTATTTCGCCTTACGAAACTGAATCGTCGAGTGAAAGGAAGGATGACATGGTTAATTGGACTACCGAGATCGAATTATTATCAAATTATATTATGGATGGCAACGCGCGCACGCTAACACGAAATTATATTTGAACGATGTATAAGATCTTACGATTTTTTAACGTAGAATTATTAAAACTCTAATAATATTTTTATAATAACTTTAAAATATATAATGCATACACAATGTGCATTATATTCATATTGAATACTGCGTTTAGTGTCATAATATACGACAAAACATAAACTGATTTAAAAAAAAATATATTTTTAAACAACTTTTGAATTTTTATGTACTACCATACACTATTAAATTTAAAAATTTACCATTCGACGTATACAATATTGTAGCTTATATTGTTACACTGTTATTCGTTTAAATTTCGGTGCGAGCCTATAATCGTATAACGAGTTCGTTAGCTAGCGGAATAAGATTTTTATTATCATTTGTATTATAACATACAACATTTGGCATAGGACTTTGAATGCTTACCGTGAGTATTTGTGACTAGTGTCTAATATTTCTTATACAAGTATTATTTTTATGTGCGATATTCACAACAGCTGGTATCTATTATAAATATCAAATACAGCCAATGAAGGGAAAAATTCGTATCGGTTCTACGGCAGTTATTTGTATTTTTTTCGATTTTTTTTTTTTTTTTTTTGTTCAGATGACGAGTGGACGTGTTTCGTTAATAAGTACTGTATGCCGTATGGAAACGACGACGACGGCGATATTGATGAATCCCGATGGAATCGCAAACACAATGTAAAGTGTATAGTTAATTAAATAATATGAACCATCAAAATGAATGTTTTAAGCTAAGACGGGATACACTATGGATTAGATATTGTGCGCTTTACTCTTAAGTTCGCTCATCTCTGCATCGAAAACCTAAGTTTTATTATTATACATTTTAAAACAACGATGAATCAATTTGATTCATTTTTGAAAAATTGAAAACAATTTTGAGTGTAGGTTTGGTTACTACAGTTCAGGTTATATAGGTACAACCATCGAATATTTATATTAATATGATTAAATTATTTTATAATAGCTGTTCGGCAATTAGAAACATAACCCAAATTTCACATTTTGGCAAAATATTTATGATAAATTAAGCTATTAAATGTACACATTAAAATTATAATTACCTTTAGAATATAAATAATAAATTTTAATTCATGCAATTTGATAAATACATTTTTATTGTAATTTAGTTACTAAGTTATTTAGGCAAAAATTGATATTTAAATTCAAAACTATTGTTATGTTTAGAAATTTTAGAAAAAATGATTTAACTAATGCATAATATATTTTATAAATAACCCACCTTGTTCAAAACGATAAACATTAAAAATATATTTTTTTGTTTGATACATGTAAAATATGCTTTATTTTCGTAGTTTTCAGCTTTGTTAATTATATTTAATGAACATTTTTT